CAGTTAGGCTACTCAGGGGTCAGGGACCCACTTGAGCAGGCAGTCTGTCCCTTCTCAGATCTCAACCTCCGTGTTGGGAGATCCACTGCTCTCTTCAAAGCTGTCAGACAGAGTCTTTTGCGTCTGCAGAGGTGTCTGCTGCGTTTGTTATTGTTTACTGTGCCCTGTCCCCAGAGGTGGAGTCTACAGAGACAGGCAGGTTTCCTTGAGCTGCTGTGAGCTCCACCCAGTTCGAGCTTCCCAGAGGCTTTGTTTACCTACTTAAGCCTCAGCAATGGTGGGTGCCCCTCCCCCAGCCTCGCTGCTGCCTTGCCGGTAGATCACAGACTGCTGTGCTAGCAATGAGGGAGGCTCCGTGGGCGTGGGACCCTCTCGGCCAGGTGTGGGATATAATCTCCTGGTGTGCCCGTTTGCTTAAAGCGCAGTATTGGGGTGGGAGTTACCTGATTTTCCAGGTGTTGTGTGTCTCAGTTCCCCTGGCTAGGAAAAGGGATTCCCTTCCCCCTTGCGCTTCCCAGGTGAGGCGATGCCTCACCCTGCTTCAGCTCTCGCTGGTCAGGCTGCAGCAGCTGACCAGCACCGATTGCCTGGCACTCCCTAGTGAGATTAACCCAGTACCTCAGTTGAAAATGCAGAAATCACCGGTCTTCTGCGTTGCTCGCGCTGGGAGTTGGAGACTGGAGCTGTTCCTATTCGGCCATCTTGCTCCGCCCCCCCCAAAAGGTGTCTGGGTTTTCTTTCACTTCTCCTTCTCTGACAGTGGGCTCCAAATGGTTTCCTTACCTGCCACTACTTTCTTTTGGTTTGCTTGTTCTCTCATATCTTTACTGGGCTGGAGTCACGCACAGTCCTCATACAAACTGTAGAACCACCTACTCTCAGATTCCTGTTGTTTACCATCATGAAAACTTAACTATTCATGAAATAAATATAAACTAAGATTGATCACCAGTCCACCCCCCAAATACAACCAGCATTTTCTTAGCGAATGAGTTCTTTTAAATAGCTAGGGTACAACCAGTTTTAAAGTTGCATTACATTAGCATTGAGTAGACACTAAGATATAGATTTGGTCCAGCTCTCATAATGATTCCTTTGCCTTGCAGTATTAATGAAGACTGTGGTAGATGCAGCTGAAAATGCAGTATTAATAGGTTCTAGGCCACTGTTTCTACCCTCATGATTTTTGTACTATCTGTACTCAAATGTGCTTAGTGTTTTTAATGAGTCACTTTAAAAACTCAAGATATTTGTCTAACAAGAAAATTAAAATCACTACCACAAATACAAAGTTTCATTTTTCTAATTTTTACTAAAATGGATGCAAAATTTAAAAAACCTAATTTGGTCACTGAATCACCTAAATACAGCTCATAAACCACACTTTGGGAAATATTGCTATATGAAAGTATTTCCAGTGATTCCATTTTTACTATGAAGCAATGCTTGTAGAATTAGTTGACATGGTGATATCACACTGATCATCTATGTCTAACTCCCTCTAAAGAAAATATTTTCTTCATACAAAGCATGTATTCTGACCACAGTGGAATAAAAATAGAAATCAATAACTGAAGGAAGACTGGAAAGCACACAAAGATGCAGAAATTAAACAACCCATTCTTGAGTAAAACCAATGTAGCAGGAAAGAAAACAAAAGGGAAATTAGAAAGTATCCGAAACAAGTGAAAAAGTAAACACAAAATATAATTATTTATGGTATGGAAGAAAAGTAGTACTAAGAGGGAAGTTCAGGGCAATAAATGCCCATATTAAAAAAAAGAGAAAGAGATAAAGATCTCAAATAAACAACCTAAGTCCAAAGTTAAAGAAAGGAAGGAAAGAGTAAAGGTTAGAACAGAAATAAAATAGAAAATAGAAAAACAATAGAAAAAAAAGATTGGACTGAGGGTTGGTCCTTTGAAAACATAAATAAAATTAACAAACAGTTAGCCAGACTAAGGTAAAAAGAGAGAAGCCTCAAAATAAATAGTGAGAAATGAAAGATGAGACATTACAACTGATGTCACAGAAATAAAAAGGACCATAAGAGACCACTAAGAACAATTATACACCAAAAAACTGCTTACATAGATGAAATAGATAAATTCTTAGAAATATACTGACAGACACCAGTCAGGGTTTTCCAGAGAGACAGAACCAATAGGAATGAATGAGAAGGAATTTATTAGGGAAATTGGCTCATGTGATTATGGAGGCTGAGAAGTCCCATGAGAAGTCTGCAAGCTGGAGACCCTGGTTTGACACTGGTAGTGTGGCTCAGACCAAGTCTGAAAGCGTAAGAACCAGGGAAGTTGAAGGTGTACCTCAGTCCAACACTGAAGGTCTGAGGACTAGGATGGGGGAATGTTGGTATAAGTTCCAGAGCCCAAAGGCTGGGGAGCCTGAAGTGTTCAAGGACAGGAGTAGAATGTGTTCCAGTTCCTGGAAAGAGAGAAAATTCACCTTTCCCTTGCCTTTTTGTTCAATCTTGGGGCCCCGGCCAGTTGTATAGTGCTCGCCCATATTAAGAGCAGATTTCCATTCAATTCAACTGGGGTCGAATCCTGATTTCCTCCTGGAAACTGAAGAATACACCCAGAGTTGTTTCAGTAGGGAGGGAGCTAATATATTTATCTACCATTGTCAGTCACTGGGTGAGGGCTACTCCTGGGATAACTACCTGGCAATTCTCAACCTTCCCTGTGTTTGAGTTAATCAACATTTCCTGTGGACAAAGAAAGCTCTAGACAGAGAGTTGCAGGGGCTGTGTATGGGAACTGAAGCTGCAAAGGGGGTGCAGGTTGGATTACAATGGATCTTCTATATAAAATAAGCACAGGGTAATACAGGAACATGTAGGAAGACCTAATCCAGTCTTGAAGACTCAAGGAAGTCTTCCTGGATCAACATATCTTGTCAATAATAATAACAAACATCTAGAAAGAGCATTATAGCTTATAGATCATGTTATCTCATATAATTATTCCACTAACTCTGTAAATGATTATTTTGACAGAAAAAAAGCTGATACTGAGCAAGCTTAAATAAACTGTTCATGACCCTTGAACTCAAGTCCAGGACCTTTTTGTTTTAAATACAGTTCTCTTTCTCCAACATGATAGTTTGAAAATGTTGACTGTCTTCTGTGAACCTGCTGGAAGGCTACTGGGACACTATCTGAGTTCTATTAATTGTTTAAAATGTAACTAATTTGGTAGAAGATCATTTATCTGGAGCTCTAAATACTAAGGTATTTAAATAAGGGAATTAGTCTTCAAGGAAACTTTTAAACAACTATTATTTAAAACATCATCTCATTGTAATAACTGAACAGTGATTTGCTACATGTGTGGCATTTAGAAGCATCAAGATGGTGTGAGCCCTGGTGCTACTGAGACCTACTGCCAGTATCGTGGTGATCCAATCTACAGACATCAGTGGGGAATAGGATTCACACAGGATTCAGAAGTTATTTCAGGTTGTAAGAATCTCATGGATTTTATGAAACAAAGGTCATTTGTACAGAGCAAAAGATACTCTAAACGTACAAGCTGAAAGAAATTTGAAAAAGGGGATGCAAGAGCAATCTGATAGCACTCATTAATCTTATTGATGTGTAGATGCATCATCTCCTTCTCCAGTTTCTGCAGATGCTGATACCACAAATCATTAGGAATTTCCTGATCATTTATTTGTTCATGTTATTCCATGATATTTATGTGTGTGTTGGGTGGTGGTGGGGGCAGGGTAAAGAAGTAAGTGTGCATCACCAACTTTGATTTTTAGTGGAAAAATTGATTAGTAATGTATTCATTCAATTAATAATTTATATAATATGTCACACTTTCACCCCATTTTCAGATAAACTCAGAGTTTTGATTAATGAGACGTTACAAGTATTTGATATATATTTCACTTCATTTGTTTGATAAATTTATATTGAGTGAAAGATTTTGTAAGCCAAATATACACATTTTAAACTTGTTTATTTCTTATTGAAACTTCAACGTAGATTTTACATTCAATCTAGCTTCTGCCCCTTGCTAACTGCTGATTTTGGGCAAATTATTTGACTCTTCTTTGTTACATTTCTTCATCTGTAAAATAGAGATTATTATCTACCATTTATTGAATCTTTCCACTGTATCAGGCACTTTGTTAAGCACGTTACAAGTGATACTTATAAAATATTACTTGTATGAATGTAACATCTATTCTACATTCTCAAAGCATATTTTATGCATTATTGAGTTGTTTTAGAATTAAAGTATTTAAACTCCAAAGATACCATTATTAATCCAAGTCCTAGACATTTGTATAAACTACCTTCTACTTAGAGATAGCATTGTGTAATGGTTAAAGGTACAAACTCTGGAGCCAGATTGCTATTACTAGTTATATGAATTGGACAAGTCACTCAGTGTCTCTTTGATTTAGTCCTTTAATGTGAAATGGGTACAGTAATTTACTAAATAGGGTTGTTGTAAGAATTAAATAAGCTAATGTGTTCATAGAACTTGGTGCAGTGCCTGACATAGAGTACACATTAATAAATATTTGCTATTATTATTATTATTGTTACTGTTACTCTCCTAAACAGTATGCGGCCTTAGAGGGCTTGCCAAAGCAACTAATAACAGCAAATTTTTGCATTACTGCTGTTATTTTGCATTGCAGAGATTCCTGGTATGCTTTACAACAGTGAAACAATGGAGACCTAGGGTTAGAACTCAATAAATTGACATTTTTTTTCATGGGCTTAAATATTATTTGCAAGATGAAATTTAAAAAATGTATATTCACACTTTCACATTGTTGCATCGTCCTGGGAAAAGATAAAGCATATTTCTGTTGCATAGAAGGAATCTGTTTGGATTCAGTATGTAGACACCTACGATGTAATTTGCCACATTTATGATCTTCCTCCTGAAGCAAATGCTTCCTGCTAGGTTGTACAGACACATTTTTTCAATCTCTCTTCCCTTATTGTTTGATAGGTACCACTGTATTCCTGGAGATCCAAATGATAAAACTGCAGTGAGTTCTAAGGAGTTCTACCTATATGGTTGATATGTGGAAGAATTGATGTTCTGTGACCCACATTTCTCTAGTAACAGATGACAACCTAAAGGAAAATGTCCATTAGTGCTGAACGGTAGCAAGGAGAATAAATCTGCATAACTCTGCCAATGGATAAAGTGTGATGAAAATGATTGCTTTCAACCTTGTTTCTTCCCATATCTCTATTCTGGGGTCCAGGGTTGTAGGCTATAATAAGGCTCTTCCCTGTTTAGACTATCCTGAGCTTGTCTACATTCCCAAATTTTCTGGTGAAATAAAAGAATGCCAAGAGTGACATGAACTGATGTGGGGTGGAGGGGGGCAGATTTACTTCCAAATTATTTTAGTAATTTTTTGATCTTTGGTATTTTCTTAAAATGATGCCTTGAATGTCTGGGAGTAGTCATCTCTCCTCTCAGATCTTACCCGTCGGTTGTTAACAGAATGGCTAAATTTGGTCTTAGTTTGTTTTCCTATAACGACTGGACTCACTATTCTAATGCCTAGCTTGATAAAACTTCTGGATAACAAAGGTAAATGGGCTCAAAGCAAAGCAAAGTTAAACCAGACCAGGTCAGGCAAAGCAGAACAAAAAGAGCACAACCTGCAAAGAAATCAACCAAACCAAAACTGTCTAGGCTAATCAGTATTTGGAAGGGTGAACTACATTCTTATAAAGTTGAAATCTTCCCTTATGGTTTTTGTTGCCTCCAAAAACCAAGCCAAGTCAAACCAATTTAAGCCAAACCAAACACCAACCAACCAGTTAATAAACAAGCAAAAATGTCCAATTTTAATTTCTATACCTTTTCCTTACCTGTCAGTTCAGTTCTCCAGAGTGACACATCTAAGTGGGAGAAATTTATTTTAGTTTGTTTAAACAACTAACATTTATTTTAGTTTGTTTATTTAGCATGAGTAACTCCATTTTAGTTTGGTTTGGCCTGTTGGGGCCTAGTGCAAGAGCTTAGTCCAAAACAATGGCCTCTCATAATTTTGTTTAAAAAATTCCCCCTTTTGGTTCAGGTTCTCACTTAGGTGAGAGTGTGACCAAAACTTAGGGCCTTAGCGCTGCTCTCTGTTACCATCATTTTGGGTTTCTTGTCTCAGCACGTCATTTGTAGGTTACAGTATCCTTATGGTCACTCGTTTCTTTCAGCTTTTGTCATTCCAGTTGAAGAGAGACCATTTGACATTCTAGAGATGGCTGCATGCAAACATTTAAAACCTTTGAGAGAATACAGTACACCAAGGAGATTATTATTATAATCTCAGGGTCCCCATAAACCAAACCACCTATTGCATATCTATTTTATCTAATAGAGCTCATTGATAGAGAGAAAACTTTGCTTTCCAAACAATCTGTCTTTTGTCTTTCCCTTCTTTTCTTTTTTTTTTTTTTGGAATTGTATTTAGGAGGCAAACAAAAAATTTTTGTTATCTTTTAATATTACACAAAAATCTTGTTCAAGAGAGAAAACTAAAATTTACCCTTATATTAGTAAACTATTAATGTCAACGTCAATTTTTAATAAAACCTCATAGACAAATATATCCAATCTTAATCAGTTTGACTGTAAGGCAAGATTTTTATAAATCTTTTATAACTCTTTACAAATTTTTGGTAAAGAGCAGATTAGTACTTTAAGAAAACTCTGTTGTGGTTTTATTTCTATGTTCAATTTATGGAAAAACTGAATAATGCCCCTTTAAATTTAGTCAATATTTTCACACATAGATATTTTTTTACAAGGTTAATTTTTACAAACTTTCCACAACCTGTTTAGACTTTCAGTTTTTTTCTATCTCACTTAAAACAACCCTTTAACTCTCTAAACTTAGGCAAAAAATTCACATTCCTATGACTTTTAATAATCTTTTACCAAAAACACGTTTTTCTTTACATACTTTGCATGTAAAACTGTTTTTTCAGTAGTTTCAAATACATGTTACACTGTTAACCCTTAGTGACTTTTGCTTTTGGTGAAAAACCTTGGTAAGTTTGGGATTTTAATTAGGTACTAGGTGTGGAGCCTAGGACCCAGATAAAAATGCAAATAAAGTCTGACTCTTTCCAGCATCTCACTCCACGTGTCCCAGGCCTTACCTAACTGTAAGGCAGGCAAGTTGTACCGTTAAGAGTCATAGTGGCATTTTACAAATTATGTAGGAGGCCTAATCACCTTTAAATTGTCCAACATTTCTTGCATAAATTCCCTTTTGTGAATTTTTTCATGACTTATGTAGACCACCTACAGCATGCTTAGACTTTCTGACTTGTCCTAAACAACCTCTTTTTAAACAACCAGTCATTTTACTTTAGCTTAGGATGAGAATTTACTGTACAAGATCCTTTCTTATATAAAATGTCTTTTATTTAATACCTTTGCATAGCTAGGGGGCATGGCTGATTTCACATGTCTTCAGGTCTTATCTAGAATTTAATGCTCCAAAAATAAATTGAACAATTTTTAAAAGTCAAAGAAGCAGTTTATGACCTTAAAGCATTTAGCAAACTTAATATCTGACCTGCATAATTTAGACCAAATGTTTATACTTTTGAAGAAATTTTTATTTTACCAATAATTTTTAAACTGCCTTTATTTCCCAAAGATTATTTAAGTTACATGAACTAAAAGGCATTACACTTTTTACTTTTCTGACAAAATATTTCATTTAAGCTCTTATTTTTAAACCAATTAAAGCTCTTTCATATATAAACATCACACATATAATACATATAAATACACAGACAGCAAAAGATAAAGGACTAATTTTCCAAGCCAGGAATTGAACCCTGAATCTGAGCCACCATTGTGAAAAGAGAAAGCATGGCCATGTGGTCACAAGGTCAAGCTCCCAAGGACATACAACACAACAGGGAAACCTCATCCAGTTTTTTTTTTTCAGGGACCTGCAGCAAAGTTTATAACTAACCAGTTTGTGGGACTATCTTGAATAATGGGCTTACAGGTATTCTAAGCCCATGTTCTATCCTAAGGTACTCCTCTCCATTATAGGACACAGAAAGACACATAAAGCACACTAGATTCACTACAGCTTAAGATTAGTCTCGTGAGTCCTTTTTCCCATTAATTAAAATTTTACAGAGGAGATAAACAGTGATTTTTACCATTCATTCAACCAGTTTGCACAGAGAGAGAGAGAGAGAGAGAGGCCAGAAGTCTGACTGGTAAGTAATTCTTACCTTTTTGCCAGCATGCCAAGCTTCTGGGTTTCCTTACCCTGAGTGGCCCTCGTGACCTAGCTCACTGCACTATAGCCCTGGTGGCCAAGCCACAACACAAAAGAAAATTATCTTTTTCTTTTCTGTGTTTTCAGAGTAAAACACAAGTGACAAAACACAGACATTAACCACTCTGCTTAGCATCCAATATTAAACTGGCAAGGCTTAAATTTGCCCTTAGATAGGCTCCATCATCTTTAGTCCAACCTCCAACTAGGAGTTTCATTATGTGGTCTCTGGGCAAGATGGCCTCTCTGAGTAGTAGAAAAGATAAGAGAGGGAAAAGAGAGAGGGAAAAACATTGCCTATGGCAGGGTGGTGAAGGCAAAGAGCTCATGGAGGCCAGAGAAAGATCTGCCCACTCATTACAGCAACACCGAAAAATTCAGGCAGCCGCTTGTCAGTAACAAAGGGATCTTTTCCAGCAGTCCCATCAACTCTCAAGTTTCCTCTTTTGGGGAGGAAAAAGCTCCTCATGTCCCATGGTCCCTCATACATGCTAATCCTGTCACCCATAGCCATCAGCAAAGAGTGCAAGGCAGATTATTCCAAAGAGAATAGCAGTTAACATCCCATAGTGCCAAACCGTGTTCTCAGCTGAAAGGGACTTTACTGAGAGCCCTCATTTTAAAATGTGCTTCAAGGTGTTGTTTATTTGGAATGTTCCACAGCAAGTTATCTTTAGTAAGATTTTGCCATTTTTGTAAGACTTTTCTGCCTCCAGGCCTAATGTATAAGCCACAAGGAACTCAGTTTTCCAGAAATTAAGGATCCCTCTGTCTTAAAATAATGATTTTACTCTCAGGTTCTCTTGATTAACTTAGCCAATGATCTATTTTTTTCCTACCTAAGTGCACAAGAAAAATGAAACAAACACAAAAATCCCTGAAATTTTGAATTTTCAGAAGTCAAATTTCATAACCCTTGCAATATTACTGCTTACTACCAGTTCCTGTCTGATCCAGTCAGATGTAAGAGGCCTCTACTTGGATCCAAGCCAGTTAATTCCCGATCAATCCATTCTGGACCCAGTCCAGTTTCTGTCATGACTTCCAAACCAGGTTTGGGTCAGGAATTTGCTCAAAGAAACTTGGGGAATCTCAAAACACAAATTCGTGGAGCACCAAAATCTGAGACGGAGCTTACCCAAGATTCCAAGCTACTCTGGGAAATCCTTGGACACCAGTGGGTCCTGCACCAGGTACCTTGTGTGCTCATTCAGCACTTCTGGGGGTCGCAGGAAGCTCTACTTCAGATCCCACTTCTGGCACCATCTGATAAAAAAACAAAAACTTTAGCCAAATTACATTTAAAGGAGTTTAACTGAGCAATGAATGATTCATGAATCGAGCAGCCCCCAGAATCACACAGATTCGCGGAGACTCCAGTGCAACCACATGGTGGAAGAAGATTTATAGACAAAAAAAGGGAAATGACATACAGAAATCAGAAGTGAGGTACCAAATGGCTGGATTGGTTACAACTCAGCGTTTGCCTTATTTGAACACAGTTTGAACACTCAGTAGCGTATGAATGGTTTAAGTATGGCCACTAGGATTGGCCAAGTCTTAGCTATTGTTACAGATGCATACTCCTAAGTTAGGTTTTCAATCTTGTCTACCTATTAAGGTAGGTTGCCGTTTGTCCACAAGGACTCAAATATAGAAGTATGGTGTCCTTCTCAGGCCATATTTAGTTCACTTTAACAGGTATATAGCTAGAAGTAAAATTGTTGGGTTATTTGGTAACTATATGTAATCTTTTGAGAAACTACCAAACTGTTTTTCATAGTGGTTGCACCATTTTACATTCTTACCAGCAGTGTATGTTAGCACTTCTATTGTACTTTCACCTGATAAAAGCATTAGCTTTACCTTATCTCT